GGGTGTAGGGTTTCGGGTTTCGGGTTCAGGGTTCACGGTTTCGGGTTTAGGGTAGGGAGCTGAGGATTTAGGGTTTAAGGTTATAGTGAAGCATGACTCTATAGAATCTCTAGGGGATGGTATTTAAGAACAATAGCGAGCGGCATTGTACATGGTTCAGACATCTGCACTACCCACCCCAAAGTGGTACTCGATGGACTAAAGACATTCAAACACTTGATGAGCATCTGCTGTTATACATCTGGTGGTGCTGATAGCCCTGAGCACACAGGGCTCAAAGCAGCAGGAACCCAACTTCACCCCAGGCCGAACCAAGAATGGAGCACCAAAGGCTTGTTTGTCGCTTGGAGCTTGAAGTCTGAATCAAGAAGGCTTAGGGTTTAGGGTATAGGGTTTAGATCCTTGAACCCTAAACCCTCAACCCTGTTGTAAGCCAAAGCTTAGAACTTACGGGTTGTATCCAGATCTGAACGCTTCAAAAACCAAAGGAAGCCCGAGAATGCCGGCCAGCGCAGAGACCTTACTAATTAGAACCGGGGTTTGTGGTGCCTTTTATAGTATAATCCTACTACGGAAGACAGCGTTTGAGGTCACCAAGCAAGGAGAGCCCTGTGACCGTTGAATGGAGAGGACTGGCCCTTGCTGCCTGGTAGGTCCCGCCTTTCCCAGATACTGCCACGATGAGCAGGGCCGTGAAGATTCGTAGATGTACCCCCAGCTTCGGGAATCCACCGATTCTGGACCAGGTAGCAAAGCTAAGCAGAAGGCTTGTCGCAGGCAGCCGCTGAGATCCTCGATTTGGAGCCTGTTGACAAAGCTGACATCGTACTTGCCAGTGCTTTGATCGCGTCGGTGAAAGATGAGACGGAACCTCCGGCTTCCTTGACTCCCAGAGAACCCAATACCCCTTAATTAAGGAATGTACCTTAAATTGTAATAGTAAGGCCCCGATAATTTAAGCTATATTCCTTAATTAAGGGGTATTGGGCTCTCTGGGCTTCTAGTTGCCTTGACTTCTTCGACGAGGACAACATGGAAACTGCTTCGTTGAAGATACAAGCAAAGTTGCTTTGGCGATTGCCTCTTCTGGCGCCCGGCTTGATATGACCAATCAGCACCGCTATGTGTTCTGCTGTAACCAGCTTCGACAGCAGGAATGCTCCAAGGGTTAGGGTTTAGCAATCAGTGTTTAGGGTGTAGGAATCAGGGTTTAGGGTTTAGGAACCAGGGTTTGAGGATTAGAGTTTAGCGCTTAACATACGGGCCTTAATGATTAAGTTAGGGTTGCGGGGGATGTTATACCATAATTAGAATAAGGACCTGTCCGGGTCGAAAGGAGGGGCGGCTGTTCTATTGCCAAGAACCCTAAGACTCAAAATGCTTAACCCTGAAACCCAAGCCCCAAACCCGCAACCCCAAACCCTAAACCCAAAAACATAAACCCCCAACCCTGATCCCTAAAGTACTAAACCTCTACCTATAACCCTCTAAAAACCACTATAAAACCCTTATTAGACTAATTATTAAGGCCCCTAATTATACCTATAACCCTCTAAAAAACCACTACAAAAACCCTTGTTAGAATAAGTAGACCAACCCATGAAGGACCCTGTTTCTTATTATATAAGGCCCCGGGACAAGTTCCTAGACCGCCCGAGAGCGGCCTCGCTGGCAGCTGAATTGCTGTGGCCATTCACCTGGGCTCAAGTGAGCGGAGGGGTCAGAGTTTGGGGCGTTTAGGGTTTAGGGTTTAGGGTGTTTCGGGTTTGGGGCTCAGTCTCAGTGTTGAGGGTTTATGGGTTTCAGGGTTAAGGTTCAGGGTTCCGGCCTCTTCGAACCACTTCTTCCTCTGCCTAAACCCTCCCAGGCTTACGAATTTGCTTTGCGAAAGGCGCAAAGCGTTCTTGGAGCACCTCAGAAAGAGTTTAGGGCTTTAGGGGTTCAGGGTTTAGCCTAAACCCCATTTTGGTTCAGGGCTTGCGGTTGGGACTTCGGGATTTTGGGTGCAGGGTTAGGACTGCAAGTGAACGCCAGCATCCACACCCTAACAATAAACCCTAAACGGCTTAGAAGGGTTTAGAAACCCCTAACCCCTTGTTGCAAAAAGCACCAGGCGATTGGAGCTCGACGCAGAGTTTACGGGGGAAGCTCCTGAAACTAAGGGTTTACTGAAAGGGTTACTTCACCCTTAACCCTAAACCCTAAACTCAAAACCCAAAACCCCAAACCCTAAACTCAAAACCCAAAACCCAAAGCGCTAAACCCTAAAACCCACTGAAATGGTTACTTCAAAAGGATTAGGGTCCGTTTTATTACGGCGAAGAAGGGCCGGAGGCCTCAGAATCCTGGGAGTTGCCTTTCTTTAAGGGTTTTGGGGTTTAGGGGTTTAGGGTTTAGGGGTTTAGGGTTTAGGGTTTTAGGGGGTTTTGGATTTATAGGGTTTTGGGCTTTAGGGTTTTAGGGTTTAGGAAGTTTGTTGAAAGTTTGTGATTAAGAATACAGGCTCTTTGAGGTTTATGCATAAGGTTGTAATAAGGGTTTCTTTGAGGAATCATCTGTTTTCTACAGGGGGCCCTATATGGCTTCTGTAAAGCTTTTCATATGGTTATTATAAGGCTTCCATGGTTCTGGTTTTTGGGGGGGTTGCATACGAGTGGTATATGGCTTCCACATGGGTGTATAGGAGTTTTCGATGGTTTCTATAAGGGCCGTACTCGAGTTCATGTGCAGTTCTACAAGGGGTTTTATACAGTTAAGCCGAACGCTGCCTGCTTGGTCGGTGCCGCAGCCGATCTTGCAGCTGGCGCTGCGGCAGGCACAGGAGTTGCAGCCGATGCCTGCGTGCCACCAGGGGTACACCCCCAAACCCCTACAGCCACAACTCTGGAGGACCCTAAACCCTAAACCCTAAACCGTGAACCTAAACCCCATCTCCGAACAGGCTACCCATGGGACCAAGCTATTGAAAGATCCTGAACTCTCGGAAAGGCAGGATGTTCGCATGTCGACTCCTGAATAATGATCCGAATAGACTATAGATTGAATACAGAATTTTGGGACATGGCAAAGTACAGCTTATTACAGGGACTAAAATTACACATTTTTCTGACCTCTACAATATGACATCTTATGTTCACTTGACCTGGCATTAACATCACTGGTCTTGACAGTAGCCCCAAACCCTCCCTAACCCTCCACCCTTTCGTGCTCGTGAGTTTATTCAGACCTCCTTAGGAGGAATATCTAAGCTCGGCCCCGCTTCATAGCAGACGTGTAGTTCTTCGTACTTCAGGGAGCAAGCGGTTTATGGTTTAGGGCTTGCTAGGTTTCTCATGGCTTTCGTGCAGCTTGAACAATACCATGCTCGGAATGTGAACTTAATGATAGCTTAATTAATTATCGATCTATGGATGGATTAAAGGTTTAAAAGTTCAGGATTGGAAGATTCAAGACGCTCGGTGTAGGATTTAATTTAGGGGCCAAAATCATTGCCAGCACTTCCTTGCGAGCGCCTACATTACTTCAAGGATCTATGCTTCAGTGAGTTGGCGCGGTGCGTTCTTGGTGCAGGGTTCCCCCTCCACCTTGGCCAGGCGCAGGTCGTCCTCAAGCCCCTCGACATCCCAGACATCGCCAGCAGCGTCGTAGTAGTCTTCCTGCCCGTGCCGGGTTTTAGGGTTTAGGGTTTAAGGCCCTGAACCCTAAACACTGGGGAACAGCCCCAAACCCTAAACTGTAAGCCTGGAGGCCAAACTAAGGTCCAGTCGTGCGTCAGCAGAGCTTCAGTCACCTTAAGCCCTAAACCCCACCGATAATGTAGGGGCCTTAATAATTAGAATAGGGTTTGGGGTTCTTTTCTAGTATACTTAATTATAACAAGGCACCTTAGGAAAATATAAGTCACTATATAGGCCCCTATACTATAGGTCTCCATTGTAGTTCCCCTCCTAAAGCTTACGATAGAGACGGTAATAGGCAGACCTTAATCATTGCCTTACTCCACACGAACTCTAAACCCTAAACCCTAAACCCTAAACCCCTCGTATACAGGCCTTAAGTACTGGAAGAGGTAGAGTTGCTGTAAGGGTACTATGGGGGAGGACCCGTAGCCTATATGGGAGTTTCCAAAAACAAGGGGTATCTTATTTTGGGGTCCTTATAGTAGGGATCCTACTATTTAGGGTACTATATTTGGGTCCTCTATTTTCGGAAACCCCCATATCTGAAGATCTGTTCAAAGCTGAATCGGCAGACCCACCAATAGAAATTCCGTCGTTAAACATGCGAATAATAGTATGTCATGCTGGGCAGGTGCGAACCTGGACCACACGCACTGAAAAGGCAAAGCTTGCGCTGAGGCCTTGCTAGCCACTGGGTCCACGGACTTGAGCTCGTCGAAGAGCTTTTGTGCGGTGCTCGCAGCCTTCAGCTGGATCGGATCAAACGCTGCGTGAATCTG